TCTGTTTGTAATAGAGAATTATGTGCAGAATTCAAACTGGATCTCGAAGCATTAGCCTATTATTGATTCTGCGGCGAGTTCAAACGCTGTAATGTCGCAAGATCAACTCTGGTTCCCGAGTAAACCTGCTCTGACTGAGCTCGGGCCAATTTTCTCGCTGCGCTCAATTATTTGTCCAAGCTGATAAACAGACCATTTTTTCTGCAGGTGCGAATACATTTTGTGAGCGCGTTGTCAGAAACATCAAATGGCAAATGAAACAAAAGCATAACGAAACTGCGCTACTCGTTTGAGCAGAAAAATGTATTCGCACCTGCAAAAAAAATGGTCGGAGTCTGGAGCCCTGATTAGTCTTTTGTTCAATTCTATACGCAACCCAATATTGGAGTCGTCTTGGACCTTTACCGACACCTAGTGGCACGTTTCTAATAGGTGACGGTTTACCGTGGTAGTGAATATTATTCAGACGGTTACGCGATTTAATGTTAACGTCATGGCAATAAGTCAAAATAACGGAAAAATACGACTGTGTAGAAAGAGAAAAAGCCCTCTAAATAAAATGTCAAAAACAACGTCCTACCTTATTGTAAATGTACTTGTTATTTTGTGGCGACTTTAAAAGAATATAGGCCTACGCTACCTTTACCGTACCGTTCATTATGTAGACCAACGTACCGTCGTCCAATGTCGTAGGCGAATCACGGGATTTATTCGATTCAAAATATATTGCTTATATTATTTGTTTATTGTTTTATTCATTCTTTTCAAATGACATGAATTAATTTTTAATTGTTTTATTTGTATTTTCTATTTTTTTGCAAACAGCTATTCCCTGCGGCTAAACGCCAAACGTTTTCAAGGAATCTTCAAAGAAGATGTCATGTGTCTTTATAAAACGTGATTATTCCACAGATGTTTCATATTAGAAATAGTGTTAAAGAAATCACTTTTATACTTATACACTCCTTAAAATGTTATTTTGTAATCATTATAATTGTATTATGTTCAATTTTGCATTTATGTTCAAATTGCATTTAAACGAAAGTGTGTGTATAATGCCAGTGTTTAATCAATAAAGACAAAAAAGACATTTCTTATTTTCTCCATCTACGTAAATTTCAGTCAGCTCCTCACACAAAGACTTTTTGCTAAACATATCATGACAAATCTAAACATCTCCATTCCACTGAAGATGAGAAGTACACGTTTGGAATGACAGAAATATAATTTTGAGTGAACTACTGTATAAATGATATTGATGGAACATGAACATCAAAGTGGAAAGATTAGCAATGAATTCTGGATCAGTACACCTCCTCTAAACATCAACACTATGACAGGAATAGTGAAAGTATCTAATTTCACAGATGAGATATCTTATTTTATATTACTGTCTGGAAACATAGTTAGCACATTAGCATTAAACGTCTGCCAGCCTCGGGCAAATCTACAAGCAGAGCAGACAGATAAATGTTTCAGAGGACTCTCTGTGGGACTTCTCCAAAGGCACAGAGAAAGATTCTCTCTAATATGAAATGGAGATTTTAGTATACTTTAAAGGCACCCTCAATAGCAAATACAATTGTAGTTTTGCCTCATTACTGCAGGGTAGAATTGGTCTGTGTGCTTGGGGCAAGATGGATCACCAGTGGGCTTATCACCATTATTAGCACATTTAGTGCTAGTCCCTGTTGCCAACCTTGCTGATTGTAGGAAAACATCTCCCTAATAACCTTAACGAGAATAATGCCCCAGGATGCGCCATTTGTCCTCCTTAGAGAGAGGGTATAATGTGCTGGGGGCCACACATCCACTATCCCTCCCAAAGTCACCCGCACTGCTCCTCCTGTCTCGTTGGCTCCGGTTTCTTAGCTGTGGGGCAGTAATCTCCTGTCTGCTCCACTTTACCACACCATGAGAATTACATCCACAAGGAACCGAGCCACAAATTGTTCAGATGGATGGAGCGTAAAATTGATAAGAATATTAAATTTGCCATGCAGACAATGCTATGGCATCTATAACCTGCAGTAAAGTCTACTGGAGTGATCGATACTCCAGAAGAATAAGGCTAATAGTGCTTTGTTATCCTATACATTTGTTGGAATAAATTGAGGGAGAAATATTTGTTTTGATAAAGAGTGAAACTACACTGTAAAAAATAAATGAAATAACCTACACTGTAAAAAATGACCGTGAATTTAACGGTAAAAGACTGTAAAAATGCTACAGTAAAAACCTGCTAAATGGTTAACGGTAAATTCCCCTAATATATACAGTGAAAAACTGTATTGGACATTACATGTATTGGACATTAATTTTACGGTAGTATACTGTTTTTGGAAGTGAAAAAGACTGTATAATTTACAGTGAATGCGTTACATTTCAAATTTGATGTTTGTTTTTTTTTAAATAACTGTTTGTTCTTAGTTTTTTCTTATCAGTTTTGTATATTAGGGTTGTGTGTTACACCTAATGTTGTTAAATGAATGTTTATTGCATTATTTCAGTTTCATGTGTGTTACCATGATGGTGTTTATTGTTTGTGTGAATGACACTGTGCACCTTCTATATATGTTATTATTTAAAAGCTGCTTGTGATGGGCTTTGGTTCATCATGTGACTTTCTCATCACCTGAGACTTTCTACGTGCATTTGGTGGTTATCAGATTATTACAAAGGTACAAAACAGATTTCAGTACTTCAATAGGTTGGTATACTAACATTATATCAGTTAATGAAATTACGGTATTTAACTAAATTTAAGTTAAAACCATAAAAACCTAAAACATTGCTACCGTATTTTTTACGGTAAAATTCCGGTAACCACAGCTGCCGGCTTTTTACCGTAAATTTTACGGATTTTTTTTTACAGTGTGATCATCAGACCTTGGACCTTCTGCCACATTCAACAGTTTGAATCAATTTGTTTTTTTTTCTCTTCTTTATTTTTTTCCATTCCATACTACAGTAATTAAGACAATGTTTGATGGTTCTGCTCAACATATGGAGACCAGAGGGAAGCGAAACATTTTTTTCTTTGTCAGTTCCTCTCAGTCTGATATCTGAACTCTTTACATTTTCTTGCTTTGTCTATCTGCTTATCTGCCCTCATGACCCTATCTGCTCGTGTGAACTACAAGCCCTCAGTATCACACATATTTGCCTGCAGAACAATCTTGGGAAATAGGGCCAGCTATTATCCATCTTTCTGTTCTCCAAATCCACTCCAGATGTGATGTGCATTTTGTAGAGCAGACCTGATTCCTGAACACATGCTTCTATAGAAACATACACATAAGAGCAGAAACACAGTGCATGCACATTATACTCAAGATACTAAGGAACCCCTTTCTGAAGCTGAAAGTGGAATCACAGTGAGTGATAGCATACCTCAGGACTGTAGAGACTTGCGAGTGGAGCTAATTTGACTAAATGAACTTCAAGACCAAAATATAAAATGAATAATAAGCCTAAATAAACATTTCAACCAAAAACTGATCTCTTGAGAAAACAACTTAAATGTTGAAATCACAATAAAATCATGACAGCGTAAATACATACAGCCTAATGAACGAATGTTTTGTGTTTCATAAAACGCGGGTCCATTAATACTATATTAAATCAGGCTTTTAACAGCCTGTTTGCTTTTCCAGGGCAGGTTCTGAGGCTGCGGAAAGTCATGTGTAGCTCGATGACACTAATGATCAAACTCCTGCACGCTTCTCCCAGTGCAGCTGAGTGCGTCCGGGGGTCACGCGCGCTGCAGTGTGCTGACTCTACACTCTGCACAGCTCTTCCTCTGAACACCGAGCCGCAACTCACTCGACCTGTGAATTTAACGGTAAAAGACTGTAAAAATGCTACAGTAAAAGCCTGTTAAATGGTTAACGGTAAATTCCCCTACTGTATACGGTGAAAAACAGTATTGGACATTAATTTTACGGTAGTATACTGTTTTTGGAAGTGAAAAAGACTGTATAATTTACAGTGAATGCGTTACATTTCAAATTTGATGTTTGTTTTTTTTTAAATAACTGTTTGTTCTTAGTTTTTTCTTATCAGTTTTGTATATTAGGGTTGTGTGTTACACCTAATGTTGTTAAATGAATGTTTATTGCATTATTTCAGTTTCATGTGTGTTACCATGATGGTGTTTATTGTTTGTGTGAATGACACTGTGCACCTTCTATATATGTTATTATTTAAAAGCTGCTTGTGATGGGCTTTGGTTCATCATGTGACTTTCTCATCACCTGAGACTTTCTACGTGCATTTGGTGGTTATCAGATTATTACAAAGGTACAAAACAGATTTCAGTACTTCAATAGGTTGGTATACTAACATTATATCAGTTAATGAAATTACGGTATTTAACTAAATTTAAGTTAAAACCATAAAAACCTAAAACATTGCTACCGTATTTTTTACGGTAAAATTCCGGTAACCACAGCTGCCGGCTTTTTACCGTAAATTTTACGGATTTTTTTTTACAGTGTAGCTATAGTCATATGCGGTTAGCTGACATATTAAACTTTAGTTTCTTTTTTTAAACTCATAATTTAGGAATTTCTTACATATGAAAGCAAAAGGTGGCCACAAACTACCCAGCTTTTAAATCACATGTCGTCGTGACTACTTCATTTAAATTGTCCTGCGGTCGGTGGGGCAAATTCATTTTTTAGAGTACAAAAACCCAGTTACTGTGAGTTCATAAAAACCCCATGTATAATAATATAGAAGAAATCGTTTTAGATGAATTATAGCAAGTTGCACTGCAGGACACTGCTGAAAATGTCAATCACCCACCCACCCATAAGCTCATTTCCATCGTGTGAAGAGCATTTTAAGCCCCCTCAGTAAGACAGTAGCCAATGAGAGTGGGCCCCCTACAGGACGCGAGGAGAACTGCACCACAATCCCTCGCTGCATGACTCAATGGGAGCATGTGCTGAAAGTAAGTCAGCGCTCCTCTGTGCTGACAAACAAGGAAATCGGGACCTTTGGGTGGATCGATAGTCAGCTCGGCTCGGGCAGTTAGGCAGAGGAACTAGAATTATACTGAATATTGAGAAAAACAAAGTCTACGTTGAGTCATCATGGCATCTCTGTTTAAAAAGAAGACGGTCGATGGTAAGACACTTTGTTTATTGTTTTATTATAGTTTTTCCTGGTCAGATCCCCGTTATAATCTACACCTGTCTGCCTGCTGCATCTTTTGAAACTTTATCAGCCTTTTTCAGATGTTTTTACGTAAAACATTACGTCGGAATATTTGCTACATGATGTTTATATAGATATTTTTGTTACTAATGACTGTGAATAAACTGTACTTTCATTATAATAACAAGTGTTTCATATAAATTTATGACACGGTTGTACTCATGTCTGTCTGTCCGTGATCCATGCGTTATGTCGTCTAACATTATTTACATAAAAGCTGTATTTTATTTATTTATCAGAATCAGAATCAGAAAGAGCTTTATTGCCAAATATGTTTGCACATACAAGGAATTTGTTATAGTATCACAAGCTTCCAGTACACGGAGACAACAACAACACACAGATAATAAAAATGAGATGTGAATAAAATACACATGCATAAATATAAACCACAAAAAATAATAAATTGGATGCACAGGTGTGCTATAGATGGAATGGGAATAGAATAAAATAAAATAAGTTGTAGGGATGTACTAGGGTTTAGGGTGATAAAAGTATAAGGTTATTGCACATACTGTACTTTAATTGCACAATGGGAGAACATTAACTGTTCATGAGGTAGATTGCCTGGGGAAAGAAACTGTTCTTGTGCCTGGCTGTCCTGGTATTCGGTGCTCTGTAACGCAAAAGTTCAAAAAGGAGATGGCTTGGATGTGATGGATTCTATCATTTGATCTTTTTTACATAAATGCTTTTATCCACTGTACCAAAAGTGAAAACGACATTATTTCTTCGTAAAAGGTAACATAGCCACTCATCAAGATTACAGGTCCTTTGTAGATTATTTTACATTGAAACAGTTGTTGCAAGCACTTTTTTTTTACGTGATAAATGTCTATTATAGCGAGAGCTCAACATGCAAAGCAAACATTCCCTCAAGGGACAGCATTGTGTAGATCAAATTGAGATCTGAATAATTGGGATAGTTGGATGGTTAGATTAGCAGGTTACCTGCCTCAAGACATAACTGTATATTGTATCTTTCAAACACTTCCTTTTTAACCTGTCTCTAATGATCAACAATAGAAACACTCATTCATAACTTATTCACACATCTTGGTTTTAGGCTAAATGTTTTTTTTTTTTTGCATTGTCACTATTCTAATTTGATTTGATCAAAATTGTATTTATTTACTTTTTTTGCTTTTATCAGCTATAAAAATAACTGCTGCATATATAGACTCATACACACGGTATAGTCTATAATAAATGACTGATGTTTATCAGTAAAGCAGAAGAGTTGGAGGTATTTGAATCAGTCATGGTCTTTACTCACGTTCTGATGCTGATGGGAAAAGTTGATTTCCCATCATTCCCGAGCCTTTGTCCTCTTGACCTTCATGCCAAGGTGAGCCAAGCGTCATCGTGCCAAAGTATCCTCTCAGATGGCAGAGTTGGTGTAGCTCAGCGAGTTTTGTGGACGATAACCCTCCCTCAATACTACGTTTTCGATACGTCATCTTTTGCGTAGACTTGTACGTGTACATAAACTCTCTCATCAAGGTTCAGGGATGGGCAAGTAACAAAATTATTATGATAATTATGTAAAAAAAAAAATCTCAAACTCTTTGAGTTTTCTTGTACTTTTCCTATTTTTGTACAATATTAATGAAGTATTTGTTTCACTTTATAAGAATTCTCTCCACATTTTGTTTTCATACCTTTAATCCATATTTCATTCTTTTCAGAAGTTTAAATGAATATTTAAACTTAACTTGTTTTTTTCTTTTAACCTATGTTCTTACTTATATTACTTATTTTTCTAAATTTCTTTTATATTTTACTTTACTTATTTGCATATCCCCATTTTTACCATTTTATTTTGAAAGATTTTATATTAATGTATTAATTATATTAATGAATGAATAATTTTCTATATATTACTATATGTAAATTACTATATGTCTAAATTTTAATTTCACTCTTTTTTTAAATATAGTTAAAGTTATTTTATAAAGCTCCTTATAGTGTTTTTTTCTTTAACCCATTGTCCTCCTAATACACCCTCTGTTGCTTCTAATATTGACTGTTTAACCTCATGGGATGTTATGATTTGATTGGCATTCATGAGGGCACATGTTGGGCTGATTGCTGTGTAGGAGAGCGTATCTTACCTACAGTATATGAGTTGTGGCTGCACACACTAGCATCGTTAGAAGTGGAGTCTGACGAGGAACCTTCGAGGAATGTTCAGTGCATGTGTTTAGCTTGTCCCTTAAATGCATAAAAACATGAAGGGCATGATCTTGCTGGCCTTGCTCCCAAACAATATTTTTTGTTCTCCCAAGGCTCATGAAAGCACATTTCATTTACTGCAATATTCAGATCCAAAAGAGACTGTGAATCAAACCCTTTTAAGTGCTCTTGTGTTTGTATAGAAAACACTTGAGGTGAGCATATAATTTTTTTTCAAATACTGGCTATATGAATCAAGAAACAAGAAAAATAGTACAAACTAATTTAGCTTAAGCAATGATAATTATTGTAAGCATGATGTGGAAGGACCATTGTGTAAGGATGCTTACCTATAACATGTTTATTTTATTTTATTTTCAAGTATTAAAACAAAATCACACAAAACAAATATAGAGTTTTGAAAAAGATGCTCACCAAGCATCTCTGCATTTCTTTGATCAAAAACACAGTGCAAACAGTAATGAGAAATATTAATACAATTGAAAACAATTGTTTTTATATTAGAATGTATTGTAAAATGTAATTTATTCCTGTGATGCAAAGCTGAATTTTCAGCATCATTACTCCAGTCTTCAGTGTCACATGATCCTTCAGAAATCACTCTAATATTTGATGGTCAAGAAACATTAATGATTATTATCAATGTTGAAACAGTTCCGCTGCTTAATATTTTTGTAGAAACTGTGATACTTCAAAAAGATTTGTCTTTAAAAATAGAAAGTAAGTTTTTATTTAAAAAAAACATACACTTTTTTGAACATGTGTATATATATGTATATATATATATATATATATATATATATATATATATATAAAATTGTGTAAATAAGTTCTAGCAGAACTTTTGCATTGTTACTGTAGAAACATATAGTAAGTCAGCCAAACGCCTTTACATTTTTTTTTTGTGGCTGAATAAGAGAGAGCCTAAAGGAGGAGGGGGAAAATGAAGGAGAAAAAACTCTCAGTTTCAGATCAGTGAACTGTATGAGGATTTTCCAGATGGTTTTATTGCATGTTTTTCTCTGCCCCATCCTGTCACAGATGTCATTAAAGAGCAGTCCAAAGAGCTGAGAGGCACCCAGAGACAAATCACCAGAGACAGAGCTGCCCTGGAGAGACAGGAGAGGCAAATGGTAAGAGGAACAAAGCAGTTTCATATCAGTTGACTTTGACTCCCCACGTCCACCCCTTTTCCCTTCCAGCAACATGCGTCGCTGCTTATGCCAGAAAGTCCCTCTTTGATTTCTTTTTATTGCATCAAAGAATAGAATAAGCTCATTCATTTATTTTTGATCGTCCTGTTAATTGCACTTAGAAACAGGTAGATCACGTGGCCTTCAGCACCAAGAGCTTGTAACACTCCAAAGAGAAAGGAAAAATTGAAATCGCATCATATGACCCCTTTAAGTTAAAAACTGTTCATGGCTCAATACTTATGAGGATGACTTGAGCGTTCATGTCGGCCCACCGCACTTTTAAGGCTCAGAAGAATCCAACACTCCCACTCACTCCCTCCATTTATGTTAATTGTTTCTATGTAAACATAAAAATGTGCATAATTGCTTCCCAAGAGGGGTTATTTTTTTCTTCATCTTTATTGTAGTTAGACATGGTTGTGCTTTGTTGTTTCATTTTTTAAAATGACCTATATTGAAAGATAGCTGCGGGGCGGTCATGTGCCGCTGCTTTAACACGCTTACAGTGGGTCCAGAAATCTAAAAACACCTAAAAAATATGCAATGCAAAATCTCATTTAAACCTGGAAATTTAAGGACTCTTTTTGGATGGTGAGGAAATTATAAAAACGTTTCAGTTTTGGGTGAACTGTTTCTTCAATCTGTTTTTCACCCCTCCAAAAAACCTGCTTCAGATGGCGTCATATCTGTCATCTGCTGGATAATTATTAGTCAACTGAAGTGGGTCATGCTTTTCGTTATCCGTTTTCTGAAAGGGTTTTGTTAAGCACATCAGTCTGTCACTTTTATTCTAGTTTTCCGATCCATAGTGCTGCCTAGTGACTGACGTGACAATAAAACATCTCTAATAGGCCTAACGCTACAGCTTCATCTCACTCAGCTCTCTATACATGAATATTTATAATGATGGCACATAATTTTTTATCATGGTGTAACAGTAAAAAATGCCTTATTCCGGTCATATTTTGTTAGTGACAGGTAAACATGGGCAATATTCTCAGAAGCAGCATCGTTGTGTGTTAAAGTAGGACAGTGTGTGTGTGTGTGTGTGTGTGTGAGCGCAGTTAATGTGTCTGCTTGGTTTTGTTTAGCAGGCATCATGTGAGGTGAGGGCAGCACCTGCTCTAATGTGTGTGTCATTAGAGTTTATTCTGTCTAATGCGTGTTTAGCTGATCAGCAGGAGTTTACCTAAGAGACTAACATTAAGAGTACACCATTTCTGGATTATCAGTGTTGAAAACACTTGGGGTGCTTAATATTTTTGTGGAAACTGTGATAATTTTTTTAGGATTATTTGATGAATAAAAAGTTCAAATGAACAGCATTTATTTGAAAGAAAAATCTTGATGTCGTGACTGTCCCTTTTGATCAATTTAATGCATCCTTAATGAATGAAGTCTACACTTCCCAAAACACTTCTTCTACATCGCCTGCCATCGGTTGAAACTGAAATTTACATGTTGGACCTCTTAAAAAGAGCAGTGTTTTGGAAGTGTCTACTCTCTTTGCAGTGTCAACCTACTGATGGCTTAATTACAGTCAATTTAGCTAGATCTCGCTTGAAAATGCAGCAGCCGAGTCTGACAAAACAACACAAAAATAAGCCCAAATGATTCCACACACCCACTTTATAAGCGACTTTATGAAACAACAGTAAGTGGAAATGTCCATACTGCTTATATTCTCGATACATGACAGGAATAGTTCACCCAAAAATGAAATGACATTTTTGTTTACTCCCTCTTGTGTCGTTCCAGTCCAGGGGCCCGTTCTTCATACGTCGCTTATTACATCCGAGATGAAATGTCACATCCAAGATCATCGCACTAATCAGGATCTGGCTAATTCGGTTCTTCGAACGCACCTGTTGTTGATGATTAGTATGGCTGGATTGAGTTATCTGAGATAAATGCGTGTTCATGGGTTGGTTTAAAAGGGGCTATGTATCGATACTCGAAACCACGATCAGCAGTGCAGCGATGGGCTGGCGGCAAGACAGCAATGTAATGACATCATATAATTAAAAAAGACACCTGACGAAAAACTTGACAAATTTCTGGACTTTTATAAGGAAACAGCCAAGCGAACAAAACTAGATAAATGTTATAATAGATAAATGAAATGTTTTTATTTTATTTAAATTTTTTACATGATTCCCAATTATTTATATTCACGATTTCTAATATTTGTACATTCTTTACATTTTTATTTCAATGTAGCAATTAGCAGTTCATTTAATTTTATATTTGAACAGATTTGTTTCGTGACAGCATTAATTAAAGTTTCTTAAGGGTCAAGATCATGTTATCTGCATCTCCTGCGCTCCATCAAGCCACTCCCATAATAGCTGTCACCACTCAAATTAATGCACGACTCTACATTATCTGTATAGCATGTGTGTAAGACTCGAATACAATTATGAAGTAATAATTTTATGACGAATAAATCTTTCAGTGAGGAAAACTGGCGGTGTCTAAAGTATTAAAGACTACACAACATTATTATATTATCTTTAAATTAATTTTCAAATGATTTTTATTTAAAATTATTGTCCCTGGATCAGTAGGATACTCTTGTAATAGTAGCGGTGGTAGCGGACAGATTTTAAGTATCAGTTCTGCTTAAAAAGATGCGATCTAATCCTGTTTACATGAAATAAGCCTGCTCCTGAGCAGGTTTAAGTTTACGGACCTGTTGCTATGACAGCAACCAGTTATGAGCTTCGAAGAACCAAATAATCCAAGATCATGCCAAATCGTCAACAATCAAATCCAGCTAACCGAGTTAGCGACGTACGAAGAACGGGCCCCTGAATGCTGTTAATTTTGAAGAATTGCTGCCCTGTTCCATACAAAAACAATGAGTGACCACATGATGTCAACCTCTAAAAAGAACAAAACCCATCATAACAGTAGGCCATGCAACTTCTGCACTCTATTCCAAGTATTCTGAAGCCACACAGCAGCTTTAAAAGCTTAAGACGTTATTCATTGATGGCATGAGGCTATATAAGAATGAAATAATTAAAATTTTTGGGTGAACTTTCCCTTTAAACTGGAATAGGAGACAAAATAATGTATTTTGTCAAAGACCTCCATCAGGTGATCTCGTGTTGATTTCTGGGAATGATTGACTTTCCAGTAAACTGATATTTCCGGTTACCAGATGCAAGTTAGAAAGTTATTTTTATTTGAAAAATGTTTGCCTAGTCTCCCAATGTTTTCTATGTGTGGTGTAAAAAGAGAGCTATGCAGTCTTAGCACGGCACATGGATTTTGTTGTAAGGTTTTCTAAGTGTAGCGGGTTTCAGGCTTTAATTCTGTCGGGCCGCCCTCACTAACACACAGTCTCATGGGAGATCTCTGCAGACTCAAACACACACTCAGTTTCCCACATTGCATCTGAAAAAAACACCTAATTGCTTGAAGTTCCTCAGGGCACAAAGCTGTTTTCAGACGTTTACTAATGTAAAGAAACACAGACCTCTGGGCCTAAACAAGTAAACATGGCACGAGTTGGTCATGAACATGTCTGGGTGACTTGTTGGTCTGTCCTAGAAGTAGAACCACTCATTGTTCACTGGATGTGTTTATTCTTAACAGGAAATGGAAATCAAAAAAATGGCCAAGACTGGAAACCGAGAAGCTTGCAAGATACTAGCCAAACAGCTCGTACAGCTCCGAAAACAGAAGAACCGAACCTACGCCGTGAGCTCTAAAGTCACATCCATGTCCACGCAGACCAAGGTCATGAACTCTCAGATGAAGATGGCTGGAGCCATGTCTACCACAGCGAAGGTAAGATGCTCAAACCTCCGAATGGATCTGCACGACAACCAAGTTAGTTATTCCATTGCTGTCCATGGAGGGCTTTAGTGGGACCCCCTCATCACGGGTCTCTGCAACAGTCCCAGTGCTCCCCCACTCCCCGATGACGGCTCTGTATTATTCACATGTAGCCTGAATGTTCCCGGGAAGTGCTGGAAAAACAGAATCCCTCATGTAGCGAAGAACTTCAAAAGAATCCTTAAACAGGGTTTAATTACTTCGCTGCTGTTATTGTGACCCAGTTTATATAGTTTCCACTCTACATTTAGAAAGATCTCATATCAGGGCTTTCTTTATGTGATGATTCGCAATGTCCTCATTACGGTTACATACTATTTTTTTCTATGATGCTTGAACAGAATTTGAAATATGAGACGTATTGTTCCTGTAGGGCACTTAGAGCAGCTGAGTAAATTGGCTTCTCAATTTTTTTCAATACATGTGATGCCAATCAACCAGAAGGACATTATTAATGCAATGTTTATGGTGGTTTTCTTTGTTTTAAGCAAGCTTTCTTAAGGACTTGTTTTAAGAAGATCTTACCAGAAAAAGTTTTGGAATTTTTAATATGTATACAATATGAAGTTTAGGAATAATAAGAGAATTTAAGCAACCCCCTCATTGGAATTCAAACCTGAGTTGTTAAAACACATTATAGCATTTTGAATTCATTTTTTTTTTAAGTGTTTTTGTCTCAGCTGGTTTTAAATTTTTATATTTTCTGTTTTAGTTAGCGTATTGGTAATTTGGTTGTGTTTTTGTTACTAGTTTTTTTTTAATGTAATTGGCATAAAATGAAGTCTGTTCAACACAGCTTTTGCCATGAGAATAGCCTCAGCTGCTGACATGGCATTAAAATCTCAACTACCTGCTTTTGTCTTAAGCCTAATTGTTACACTTTAAATTTTGCGTGAGATGGGTAGGCTTATTCATTTTACCTCTGGAGACACTTATTTTGTTGAATAAGGAAACATGCAAATACTCAGCGTGCACTTCTAATGCAGACACTTCACAAAGCACGTCTTATCTTTACCAATCACTACAGGCATGTAGTGGCATCACATAAAATGCAATTTCAGCCAATTAAATTCAGTCTCTGATCGTTCCTGTACTCCCACAAAAGATTCAGTGTGTCTGTATCTAATCCATATTGTATGAGGATTCAGAAGGAAGCTATTAATATCTGATGCATCATGGGATTTGTAGTCGATCATAAGGAGGTAGCTGGTGTAATAGATCTGAGATGGGTGATAATGAGGCTGTGTGTAAATAATTCTCTCTAATCAGATAGGACTCTTCCTGTGTGTCTGCACAGTCTAGAAACCCAGAGGGACCGTAAAACACACTTCTCTCCATGCGACCTATTTTTATGTTCTGTGTCATCTACTTACTGTACTCCCCCTTCTCACCAAATGGTGTGAAGTTGAAATTTATGTTGAGCTGCATTCAAAATGTATTCGTCCGTGGTGGATTTTTGTCAGTGCTTGTGTTATTTTTATTACCGTTTTGTGCACCGTAAGGATGCTCTATTTATTCTCTGGGAGTGTGATGGATGGCTTGAACTCTTTCTGTCTTTCAGACTATGCAGACTGTCAATAAAAGATTGGCCCCGAAGAAGACACTAGAGACGATGCAGCACTTCCAGAAAGAGAACTTAAAAATAGGAATGACGGAGGACATGAGTAAGTTCTTCAAAGCACCTGACACACATTAGTGACTGGATTTGTGGTTCTCAACTGACGGATCTGTTCTGGTCAGTTTTGTATCCAATCCATATTGTATGAGGATTCAGAAGGAAGCTATTAATATCTGATGCATCATGGGATTTGTAGTCGATCATAAGGAGGTAGCTGGTGTAATAGATCTGAGATGGGTGATAATGAGGCTGTGTGTAAATAATTCTCTCTAATCAGATAGGACTCTTCCTGTGTGTCTGCACAGTCTAGAAACCCAGAGGGACCGTAAAACACACTTCTCTCCATGCGACCTATTTTTATGTTCTGTGTCATCTACTTACTGTACTCCCCCTTCTCACCAAATGGTGTGAAGTTGAAATTTATGTTGAGCTGCATTCAAAATGTATTCGTCCGTGGTGGATTTTTGTCAGTGCTTGTGTTATTTTTATTACCGTTTTGTGCACCGTAAGGATGCTCTATTTATTCTCTGGGAGTGTGATGGATGGCTTGAACTCTTTCTGTCTTTCAGACTATGCAGACTGTCAATAAAAGATTGGACCCCAAGAAGACACTAGAGACGATGCAGGACTTCCAGAAAGAGAACTTAAAAATAGGAATGACGGAGGACATGAGTAAGTTCTTCAAAGCACCTGACACACATTAGTGACTGGATTTGTGGTTCTCAACTGACGGATCTGTTCTGGTCAGTTTTCAGCAGCGGAAAAAATGATGTTAAACAATATACTGACTATGTATTATATATTGAGTTCCATTGTATTTTTTTAAAGTCATCTAACCATATAATTATGCATAGACAGGATAGCAAAATAAATAAGCTTATCAGCACTTCCCATACTTTACTTCATTTCATAAATTATTCATCCAGTCAGTTTGGCGCATTTTATCTATCGCTTGGCTGAAGCAGCCAAATTAGGTAGATGCCAACCTGGACAGATTGTGTGACATGCTGTCATTCTCAAAAACCATGTATAAACCTGCATAAATTAAAAGAAAATATGAATCAGACTATATTAAAATTGGCTCACTTGCAACAAGGGCATAGTTTGTGCGCACAGTGAGCTCTGTGCAATGAATTATAGACAGCATGAAACCATTCACATTCATTACTGTGCAATTAACAATTTTGGCACTGTGTTGGGTTGCCACTAGTTTTCAGTTGCTAGACCTTACGACAAAAGTCCTAGTCATTGTCCAAAAACTGCCTATTTAGACAGGAAGAGATGGTTTGACTGTAGTTAAAGTGACCAACCATAGTTTAATATAGTGACTGGATTTGTGGTTCTCAACTGACGGATCTGTTCTGGTCAGTTTTCAGCAGCGGAAAAAATGATGTTAAACAATATACTGACTATGTATTATATATTGAGTTCCATTGTATTTTTTTAAAGTCATCTAACCATATAATTATGCATAGACAGGATAGCAAAATAAATAAGCTTATCAGCACTTCCCATACTTTACTTCATTTCATAAATTATTCATCCAGTCAGTTTGGCGCATTTTATCTATCGCTTGGCTGAAGCAGCCAAATTAGGTAGATGCCAACCTGGACAGATTGTGTGACATGCTGTCATTCTCAAAAACCATGTATAAAACTGCATAAATTAAAAGAAAATATTAATCAGACTATATTAAAATTGGCTCACTTGCAACAAGGGCATAGTTTGTGCGCACAGTGAGTTCTGTGCAATGAATTATAGACAGCATGAAACCATTCACATTCATTACTGTGCAATTAACAATTTTGGCACTGTGTTGGGTTGCCACTAGTTTTCAGTTGCTAGACCTTACGACAAAAGTCCTAGTCATTGTCCAAAAACTGCCTATTTAGACAGGAAGAGATGGTTTGACTGTAGTTAAAGTGACCAACCATAGTTTAATATTTTAATGTGCCGTTTAGGGGTGGATTGTACAGAAAATCCTGAAAAAAACTGTGTAGTAGATCAAAAATTCTGAATAATTTAATAATGGCGAAATATACTGTTCTGCTTAACAATACTGAATTAGGAGATTTAATGAATGAATGAATTTAAAATTAGGTAAAAATCAATTGTTAGTAAGTGCTTCAAACAACTAAATATCTTTGAACAGTTTGAAGCCAGCTTTTTATCCTTAGCAGCTCTCGTTCAAATTATTAGTTTATATTAGATATCAACTTATTGAGGTTATTCTCTCAAATTTCACCAACTTCTACAACTTTCTGTCCTCAGTCAACGATACGCTGGATGAGATTTTTGATGAATCGGGCGATGAGGAAGAATGCCAGGACATCATGAACCAGGTGCTGGATGAGATCGGCATAGAGATCTCAGGAAAGGTAAGACGCTTTCTTTCTGTCTGCGCTGTTCTAGCGACGGCCCCAGCAGCGGCTTTCAGCAGATGGCTGGACACTGGCTGTATCTGTGATTACTGTAGGCCTTTCTTTAGATTCATGAGATGCAGAATCATCGTATCTGATTGCAGCAGATGTGTATTCCCTTGGGCCAAAATGTAATACTCATATTACCATATTCCACAGATTCTTTGTCCTGTTTTTCCCAAATAAAGTGCTTGGGCTCTGTTTTTGTAGAACATTTGGGATAAACAATGATCATATTTGATTGGCGCCACATCTATTGCCCAAAACAACAATTAAATGGAAGCTTATGCTGGTAGAGTTGTTGCACCAGGTGATCTGTGAAATCTGAAGTTTTACAGCTCTAATAAAGGCCTTCAATTGTTATTGTTTCCACAGATGGTAAGAGCCCCCTCAGCAGGAAAGATCCTCCCTGGCGCCTCCCCAGTAAAGTCTAAAGCGGCCACTATCTCAGACGCCGAGATCGAGAGACAGCTGAAGGCTCTGGGAATGGACTAAATCTCTTCAGTCTCCACACATGTGCACCCATTGCCACCAAAGGAGTTTCATAGTGGGATTGGGGAGTGTCCAAGTAATAAATGAAGGGAAAATGTCAGCAAACATACTCTTATTGGAGTATCGCAGGGAGTCACTGGAGGAAAGTCAGTGGTCAGATACAGCAGATCATGGTTTAGATGTTCTGATAAAATGTTCTCTAAATCTGCTGCACATATTGTAGGGTATAAGGGTGAAGGATGTAATTTTTGCACCACTAGTGGTTCTAAATGGAATTGCAATCTGTTTGTTTGAGCAGCATGATTGGGTGGGATATAACATCAGCTCAACCAATGGTGTAAGCTTGGGGCGGGGCTATCTGTTTGGACGACCAATGGCAAAATGTGGGGGTGGCGGGGGGATTGAAAAGTCAATGGCTGCGTCCAAAATCACATACTTCCCTACTATATAGTTGGCAAAAAACAGTATGTGAAAAGAGTAGTATGTCCGATTGAACAGCATTCATAAAACAGTAGGTGAAAAGTCCCCGGGTAACCTACTACTTTCGGGCGAGATTGTGAAGTGCGCATCTGATGAACACTTTACTAACCCGTGAGGCCACATGACAGGATTTGTGAATAGTAGAAAAGTGACACAACTGACGCTGGTAGGTCACATGACAGTGATAATAAGGCGAATGTAGTACATACGGATTACATTTTTTTTTATCTTTACATGCTTTTGTAACAGTCGCAAAGTGATTACTTATTTAAAAGAAGTACCTACTGTAAGAGTATGCGATTTTGGACGCAGCCATTATTTTTGTAAATCTGTTCGATGCTGCTAGTGTGCAGAAATTACACCCTTTACTTTTAACTTTAAAGGGTGCTATTACTGTGACAATGAATAGTTCTTTAAATCCTTTAAATGTACACAAACATTGGGAGATTTTGGTACTCCATGGGATTCCCATGTATTATAGGGCTAATCATCTCAAACATGTCTTTTTGGTCTTTTTAGGTTATGTATGACTTAAGGAAGTAAGTTACGGAAAACAGTTTTCCTTTGCATTGAGGTTTGGTATAAACTCTTGCATACATACAAAAAATAATCTTGCATGAGAATCTTTGTTGATATGATAATGTGATGAAGTCTTTACATGTCAACCTTGAAACAATGCAACCATTGAGACCCTTTAACTGCTTGGTGACCTTAGTAGGTCAAACTAAACTAAAACTGTAGTTTCACAATGGTACAGCTTGAATAATGTGCAACATACACTCTTAAAAATAAAGGTGCTTCACGATGCCATAGAAGAACCTTTTCGTGTAAATGGTTCCATAAAGAACCTTTAACATCTGAAGAACCTTTCTGTTTCACAAAAGGTTATTTGTAGCGAAAGAAGGTTCTTCAGATTATAAAAAGGTAAGAAAGAGATGGTTCTTTAAAGAACCTTTGACTGAATGGTTCTTTGTGGAACCAAAAATGGTTCTTCTATGGCATCGCTTGAAGAACCTTTTGAAGCACCTTTATTTTTAAGAGTGTACCATCATACCATGTCAATGCTGGGAAAATAACTGAGTAATTCTTCAGATTTAACAGAAATAATCAGTCCTGTGAGCTTTCATTCTCTGTTTACATTAATGAATACTTTCAATATCATTAATTTACAGAGTTAGAGTTACACATGCAGGGCTGTCATCTGGAGGGAATAACCAATAACTTCCAGATTTCCAGTAGTTGCTGAAAGTCAAAGTCAGACTGCAGATTTTGGGCAGTTGGAGTTGATCAATTTCACAGAAAACCACGTAGTGTATGGGAACAGACTATAAGTCCATCCAATTTGTAGATATCAGACATAGTGTTTTAAAATCAGTTCGGATTGTATTCCAGTCTTTAGAAGAACTACAGTATCAGTTTTTTCTTTTCAACCTCATCTATACATACTCCTTAGCACTATTTAAAAAGTTTTTTTTCCCCGTTCTAACTAACACAATGTATATATAAATGTACAGTTTACGGTTTGATTTGATTTTCTAATTAATAAAGTACCTTCATATTTGTGAATAACTGGTGTTTCGGCAATAACCTTTTTCGGCATTTAACCATATGTACGATTAGCTAATATGACCATTAAGAGACCATATGAAAATAAGAGGGTGGCCTGCACTGATCTGTTAAACCTTTAAGCTGTATTCAAAATGTTATTTTAACAGAAATAATCAGTCCTGTGAGCTTTCATTCTCTGTTTACATTAATTAATACTTTCAATATCATTAACTTACAGAGTTAGAGTTACACATGCAGGGCTGTCATCTGGAGGGAATAACCAATAACTTCCAGATTTCCAGTAGTTGTTGAAAGTCAAAGTCAGACCGCAGATTTTGGGCAGTTGGAGTTGATCAATTTCACAGAAAACCACGTAGTGTATGGGAACAGACTATGAGTCCATCCAATTTGTAGATATCAGACATAGTGTTTTAAAATCAGTTCGGATTGTATTCCAGTCTTTAGAAGAACTACAGTATCAGTTTTTTCTTTTCAACCTCATCTATACATACTCCTTAGCACTATTTAAAAAGTTTTTTTTCCCCCGTTCTAACTAACACAATGTATATATAAATGTACAGTTTACGGTTTGATTGGATTTTCTAATTAATAAAGTACCTTCATATTTGTGAATAACTGGTGTTTCGGCAATAACCTTTTTCGGCATTTAACCATATGTACGATTAGCTAATATGACCATTAAGAGACCATATGAAAATAAGAGGGTGGCCTGCACTGATCTGTTAAACCTTTAAGCTGTATTCAAAATGTTACGAACCTCTACAATTGTTCTAATGGCCTTTCAGAGCATCTCATATTTCAGTAAATTAGACATCATTAGCCTATTCATAATCATAATGAAACATGATTTTTAAATAAGGCCTTAATGAGTTTGTAGAGTGACCTTTCTTAAATGAACCGTGGTGCAGTCATTTTAAAGTAATGTAATGAGGTATGGATGTGTGACTGCTGCAAGCATTTCTGCAGGACTAAAAACCCTGTCAACTGCAGAATCTGCTGAAATACATATGGACAAATCCATCATTGTATTGTTTTTATGTATGATTTTTTATTGTGTGGTTGTTTTTTATGTATGAAATATGCTGAAAATGTCAACTCCCACCAACATTATCCCAGAGTATACTGTATTTATTGCATTATTAGATCAGATGGGGTGGTAAGGGATCAGTGGCAGGAGATGATGATCATCATATAGATCATCAGCCATATCGCTCTGCTGAGAGCGCTTGTGTGCAGGTGAGAGGCTGTGCTGCCTCATTATAACACTGTCAGGAACAAAGAAATACTGTAAAGAATCCCTCAGTAAAACCCAGCAGAGCTCTGATGATAACAAGGTATGCAGTAGACAACAAATTAAATGAACACATGCCACATACATACATGATAGATGCTTAATTCTCTCCCAACACAATGATGTTTGATTATATTTAATAATCTGAATCACAACACACTTACCATGTTGTTACAATTCACGTGAAGCATGTAATTCACATTATAATAAACAGATTGCAGCAGAGCCGGTAATGACTAGCAGGATCTTATGATAATATGACAAACCAAGCGTGACCACAATATTAGTCATTTATTTGGACAAATTCATCATTTTTGTACAATTGACATCACAAAAGGTTTGGCGGCTTCATACAAAACTTTACAGTGCAATGACACATTTCCAGGATACGTTTTCAGAATATTTTTTTGAATATTTGCATATTTTGCTAATATATTAAACTTTGATTGGAATGAATTTAAATATATTAATGATGAATAAATTATTTTAACTACTTATAAAATGTTAGTGGATCATATATTCATAAATTAGTTCATGTGAATCTTCACAGTGGTGCCGATGGCCTCGTGGGCAGTGCGCTTCAGGCGTCCCGAGTTCGAATCCTGCCTCGTGGGCATTTCCTGATCCCACCCCCCTCTCTCTCACCCACTTCGCTTCCTGTTGACCTACTGTCCTATCTAAATAAAAGGCATAAACGCCAAAAAAAAAAGTGAATCTTCACACCTGTGATTACTCTGATAGTACCTGTGTGAACGTGAGGAGAACTGACTTCATACATCTACTAAAAACACCTAGAGACTTTTCCAAATGCAAAAAATGTTTCATAATGTCATAGTTTGTTTGCGTAAGTCATTTGGTTTGATACTTTGATTTCCATGATATAACTTTCAGACATTTTTTAGTGTGTTCAAATAGTTTTTGGGGTCACTGCATATCCTCACTCACTCCTGCTGCCGAATCAGTACAATAAACCCACTCACTGCCAAAGGTTGGTGTTGATTTTTTGCCTGTAGATAATCATACATCAGCATTGCTGAGACCCCGGATCTTCAAGGTCTACAGGCTGCGGTCTCTTTGGCCATGAAGGAGCTGTGGTGTAGGCTGGTTTTGACCCTCTTCTCCCTTTGCCGGCGGTTACAGAACCAAACACGCACCACCTCCTTCTCCAGATGAAGACCTTCCGCCATTCGCACAATCTCCTGAGATGATGGCTTACTCTTCTCCACAAAATTCCTTTCTAAGGCTTCCTTAGCCCCAAGACTGAGGGAGGAAATTAAGAACTAATTAGGTATTAATTAGAGGGAAATGCTGATATAATGGCTTTTGCTTTTTAGTTCAGATCCCTCATTTACCTGATGGTTGTTCTCCGTTTGCGTTTACGCTCATGCATGCCCATCTTCTCATTAAAAAGAGCTGATGGGAATCACAAATTAAAGCTAGGTAATTCTGCCATCTTATGTTTTCATTAAAAACTCAGGGATAATGGTATGAGTGTGGTTACTCAGGAGTGTGTTGACTCACCACCGGCTTGCTCAGCCTCCTCCAGCCACTTTGCCAGGATGGATTTGAGCTTGCAGGCGTTTTTGAAGCTGAGCTGCAAGTTCTCGAAGCGGCAGATGGTGGTTTGGCTGAATTCAGAGCCGTGCACAGCCGCCAGGGCTTC